CAACATGATCAATACTGGGCTCAATCTCAGTGGTGTAAGAAAATATCTGTTTCCACTGGTATTAACATGTGGTATCTTACTATATTTTACTATATGTGATAGTACAAAGAAAAATTTTGATAGGCAAGGAGATAATATAGAAACCATTGTTCGTTTTCTGTTAACTGGTTCTAATTACCCTGTAATTCTTTCATTCTCTTGAATGGCTTCACACTGTCTTGATATGATTGATGCTATAGTATACAAAGTGATACTCAAATAATTCAAGGAATGAGGCACTATGGTGACTAATATTATGCTAGATTATCTGGGAGTGAAATACAATGATGCTTAAATTGTTCCATTCTGAGAAGTGTTTTTCTATTACAATGTCCTCTTTTATCTCAATCTCCATCCTTTTTAAAAAAAAATAAACTATTTTAAATTTTTTTTCAATTAAGGGAAAACTAAATTAAAAAATATCGGGATATATTATAGTAACTATTTGATTTCCTATTAACCTGATTTGAACCCCAGTATTGCTCTCCCCATCTTGTTCTGTCTGATTTTACAATGTTCTATTAATTTGATAGTATCAAGTTTGAGGGTATATACAACCACTTTGAAGGCAGTAAGATGTACTATGATACCCATTATAGTTTGACTATTATCTTCTTTTGAAGTCTTGCCAGGCTTCCAGTGTAGGGTTTATTGGTCTTGTTCTGTACTGTTTTGATCAATTCTATTATACCTGATGCTATAGGTAACTCTTTTTAAAAATAGCAAGAGGCACAATGGTAACCATTTTTGATCATCCGATACTCTATTTTTGCATCATGTACTATGCCCACCCTTCTGTTCTAACCGACTCTGTTTTATTTAGTCATGTTAGGATTTATTCTCTTCAAAAAATGTAATAAGAACTGTGGGAGTAAAAATACTCAAAAAGTGTAATTGTTATTGTAAAAAAGAGAGGAAAGGTGGTCTAAGGGATATAACTGCATGCTTGAGTGTGTAGAATGGAAAACCATATTATTGAGCTTTTGTTGGATCATTGAACAGAACTTTCTGCAATTTCAATGTATGAATGTCCACTTTCTATGCTTTAATTTTATAATTTGGACAACTGTTTCTAAGATGACAAGATGTAACCTATTAACTAGTGATTTCTTATTGAACTTTTTCTTGAAATTCTGTATTACTCGTACCCGTTTACTGCTTTGTTTTTTATTTCCTATCTTTGTTCTCTTTAATTAAAAAAATAATCAAACCTGGAAAGGATATCTTTTATTTATTTATTTATTTATTTATTGGGCACTGGAAATCCAACTCATGACCTCACACTTGCCAGGCAGGTGCTTAAGCCATTGAGCTAATCCCCGGCCCACCAATGGATATCTTTTACATCTTGTCATCTTCACAGTAGTTGCCTCTTCTCTTGAACTTGATACTAGCAAGCATACTAAACGTAAATAAAATCATTCAAGGCCAAATAACATTCAAACAAACCAGCTTCAAAGAAGATCAGTCATAGAAGACAATGTAAGTAATATAGGGTTTCAGTTTTAGTTAATAGGAAATTAAGGATAGTTACCATGGTATAACCTGCTATTTTTGGGTTATCTCTCTGTGCCCTCAAATCTAATATGAGTAGACAGTCCAGAACAAAATATAACCAAACTAAATAGAGCAACAAGACTACTGTAGATTTTAAATCCTGATACACTTTTAACAATGTTCTCTGCCTTCTTTTTTTAGGCAATTTCTCACCTTTCTCCTTCTCAGGATACTATTATTCACTGTTCACAGTGATATTAGTCTAGTCTCTTATGTTAAATTTCAGCATACATAAAGATAATGACAGCTTCTATGAAGAGAATAAGAGACATTATGGTAGTCATTACCGACTTCCCCAAAATCAGTCTTGAAGACCAAAAAAGCCTGCATCACCCCATAACTATTTGAGTAGTCCTATAATATTTGGTATATATTCAATGTGTGTGAAGATGGGAACAACTATTTGGAAGAAAACTAGAGACAGTAAGATAGACAGTGAACATCTGCAGTGGACTTGCTTTGAAATGTTTCCTTAGCTTATTTCCTTATGAACTGTTCTGTTCTGTTTTTTCATGTTTAATCTTACCCTCTTTAAGAAACAAAAGTGTCTAGGACAGATAAGCATATTAATAACTTTTTGTTGGATCATTGAAGGGAACTGTTGACAGTGTCATTATTTGAATATCACTTTGTATGCTTTAATTTTGTAACTTGAACAACTACTTCTAAGATGACAATATGAAACTAATCAACTAGTGATTTCTTATTGTTTATTTTTCTGAAATTCTGTATTATTTCTACACGTTTTCTTTTTTCTCTTTAAATAAACATTACAATTCACCAAAAATATAAAATTTAAGTTTTACAGAAAAAAAATATTAAGTACATAGACACTAACCATACTTGAAAGTAAAAAGCCCATTTCAGTTTAGCATGTTTAATTACAAGATGCTATGTTGAAGCACAAAGACACTTTAAAAAATCTAGAGAAGTACAAGTTATTAACTGAAAACCATACAATTTTTGCACCTAAGGAGAGCTCCACCTCAGATTTGTCATTTCTGGAATATTTGTGAAGAAATATTGACATCTAACTTCTGTATTGATTATTTCTTCAGGTCTCCCTGCGATTTTTAAAGTAAATTTAGATCTAAACTGTCTGAACAGTGACACTTTTTCTATGTATTTAACAAGAAACATGGATTGCCATATTTCTCACATTGTTAATCCACATAGGATCTCTGCCCACTGAGTCCTTTAAGATATGTAACAATGATCAAGTATGATGAGAGTATTCCCATAACGCATAGGATATATCTCTTGTGTGAGTTTTTTCATGTATTTCACTTACAATCTGGCTGCTGAAAATGTCTGCACTTGCTTACATAGCCAGTGGTTTTTCCCAGTGTGAATTCTTTTTTTAAAATTTTATTTAAGGAGAAAAAAAGCAGAGAAAGTGTACAAGTTATACATATTTACAGAAAAAAATCAACAGTAGGAAATCATTAGTTAATGGATTACATATTGTCATTTTAGAAATAATTGTTCAAGTCACAAAATTAAAGCTTGTAAAGTGGACATTCCAACAATGATACTGCAAACACTTCTGTTCAATGATCCAAAAAAACTCTGTGATATTATTTTCTATCTTATACACTTAAATATACATGCAGTTATATAGTTTAGAGCACTTTCTTTCCCTTTCGTTTGTACAATGACTATTACACATTTTGGGTTTCATTGCTCCCACGGTTCTTATTATTTTTTTGGAAGAGAGTAAAACCAAATGTGGCATAACAGAACAGAATCGGTCCACTCAAAAGGGTGGACATAATAGGTAATGTAAAAACATAATACAAGGTGATCAACAATGGTTACCATAATGCCTCCCGCTATCTCTAAAAGAATTGCCTATATCATTAGTTAATAAAATTGAACAAAACAGTAAAGAACAAAACTGACAAAACCAAAACATTGAAGACATTGGTCTTCAAAAGTAGATAAAAGTCAAAGAGAATGGGCGTTATAATGAATTTCATTATCTTCACAGCTGATGCCTAAACTTTCGAATCTGATACTATCCAGCAAAATAGAATAGGAGAACATCAGTCAAAAACAAGATGGTGAGAGTGATACAGGTCTTTAAATCGAGATAATGGAAAGTCAAAGTGGGTTACTATAATATATCCTGCTATTTTTATTTATTTTTCCCTTAATTAAAAGGATAAAAATAAAAAAGTAAATAATGGAGTGGAGATTGAGATAAAAGAGGGCATAACAGCAAATTGGTGCAGATCAAAAAATAACCATTTAAGCAGAATATTGTTTCACCACCAGATAATCCTGACATAAAAGTAGTTACCATATTGTCTCTTTCCTTGAAATCCTTGAGTACAACTTCATATCCTGTAGCATTAAATATATCAAAACAATGTAAAACCATTTAAGAGAATGACAGCATTACAGAGTATTGAGAATTGACTAACAGAAAATGAACAATGGTTTCTGTATAATCTCCTTGTCTTTAAAAGATTTTTGCTTATACTATTGTACATAATAAAATCCAATAAGATACAACCTATTTAGACCAATGGAGACAGAAGAAGAAAAGCTTGATGAGACTTCAAAACAAGATGATACTAAATCAGTATTACCAATTAAGATGTCATTTTCTCCAAAATAGCTGTTCCTATCATCCAATCTTCTCTGCCTCATTTCTGTTGAGCTCTTTTTCTGTCAGTAGCTGTCAGTTTGTCTTCTTCACTTTGTTCTCTGCTCCATTAGTTGTGGCCTCCACTATTTCTGGATTCTTTGTATTTTTCTTTTTTTAGAATATCCTGCAATACTCTCTGTAGAGTTGAATTGGTGGTCACAAATTCCCCCAGTTCCTGTTTATCCTGGAAGCACCTTGTTTTTCCATCAATATCCAGGGACAGTTGTCCAGGATATCTCAATCTTGGCTGGAGATTATTATCTTTCAAAGCTTGAATTATTTCCCCCCACACTTTTTGTGATTTGATGGTTTGTGCAGAGAAATCTGCTGTAATTCTGATGGGTGCTACCATCAGAATTGTAAGTGGTCTGTTTCTTGTCTCTGACAGCTTTCAATATTCTGTTCTTGTATTGAATTTCTGGAATTTTTATTATTATATGCCTGGGTGTTGCTCTGTTTTGGTTGTAGGTAGCTGGGGTCCTGTATGCCTCATACATCTGAGCATCTTTACCTTTTAGTAAATTAGGAAAATTCTCCTGGATTATTTCAAGTGAGTAGATTTTGTAGTTCATTTGTTTGTGTCGCTACTTCTTCTTTTATGTTCTTAATCCTTAAGTTATGGATCATCTTATCATCTTCTTGTCTTTGTATTATTGCTGTTTGTTTCTTTTTTATTTTTAAGGAGTTTTTCATTTCATCCTCCCATATTTCAATTCTGCCCTCCAGTTCAGATAGTCTGTCCTTAGTTTCTTTCAAGCTGTTATACCAGTTATCGATAGACTTCTTAGCTTCTTGGTAGTCTCTTTGAACCTGCTTCACGTATTCTATGCTTTCCCTGTTTTCTCCATCAAACAATTCTCCCCTCTTTTTCTGTTCTTCCATTCCAACATCTGTTTTTTCTTGGGTGATGCTTAGCATTTCTCTAACTATTCTGCATACTTCTAGCTTCAGTTCAATGAAAACTTCATTCCTGAACTGATCTATGAGGCTCTCTATATGGCGCTTTATGTCTATTGGTGCGGTGTCCGCTATTACCTGTTTCTCCGAATTGGGGGCCAAGGAGACTTTCTTGTTGCTGCCTCTTCCCATATTCTCTGTTCCTTATATATGCAAGCTTATATAAGAGGCCCAGCTTCTCTCCGTCAGCCACAGCCTGATCGAATTCGCCGGTTAGGTGTTCTCACCCACCGCAGCACACCAGGATGTTCCAGACCAGGCATCCTATGTGGGGCCTGCCCCTCCCGGCCACCATCAGGCTCTGGGATTTGGATCGGGCCAGCCTACTGGGTCCGCCAGCAGCACCACACAGGACAGGCACTTTTCAGCAATCCTGCCTGAGAGGGGGATGTATGGCTGAAGTCACCACCGTGCCCTGCTCATGCAGGACTACTCGGGCCCAGAATGTCCTCCATTGGAGTCAAACTGTGGTAGAGTGTCAGTTTCTCTCACTCACCTCACAAGTCAGTGCACGCCTCCCTGCCCATCCTGTTTTCGACTCTGTTCGCAGATTCCCATTCTCATAGCCTCTGTGCGTCTCCCTCCTTGCTGAGCTGATGTAGAGACAGTCACCGCGTGGCAGGAAACCCAAATCGTGGCTTCCAATGGCAAGGGCTCCAGCCTCCACACTTTTCTGTTCCTGTTTTAGCACCAGGACTGCATTCCAAGTTGGTTTCTCTCAGCCCAGTTCATTCCTGAGTCAGCAGAGTATATCTCCACCTGCTTATGTCTCCTTACTCCGCACCCTTCCTGACTTCTGAGCCGAGACTTTCAGAGAGCCTCCGTAGTAGCTGTTATCTGTCCGCCATGTTCTCCCGGAAGTACCCAGTTGAATTCTTTCATGTGTTTTGCAATGACTGTATGTGGTAAAAGCTTTGCCACACTGTTATATACATAGGGTTTTCCACCAGTGTGAAGTCATGGATGTATTTTACAATATCCATGTTTGGTGAAAGCTTTCCCACATTCTTCACATACACAGGGTTTCTCAACAGTCTAAATTTTATAATGTATTGGACAATGAGCATTTCTGCTGAAACCTTCCGCACATTCCTAACATATATAAGTTTTCTGCCCAGTGTGAAGATTTTCATACATTATGCAATATATACGTGTGCTCAAACCATTCTCATGATTCTTACATACACTGGTTTTATGTTGAGTGTGAACTTTCATGTTGCTTACAATGCCCATGATGGGTAATAACTTTCCCACATTGCTTACATACATATGGTTTCTCTCCAGTGTGAATTCTTTCACGTTGCTTACAATGTCCAGAATTGGTAAAGTCTTTCCCACATTGCTTACATAAATAGAGTTTCTCTCCAGTGTCAATTCTTTCATGTTTCTTACAATCTCACTGCATTTTAAAAGCTTTCCCACATTACTTACATACATAGAGTTTCTCTCCAGTGTGAATTCTTTCATGTTTCTTACAATTTCCCCATGTGCTAAAAGCGTTCCCACACTGCTTACATCCATATGGTTTCTCTCCAGTGTGAATTCTTTCATGAACCTTAAAATATGCACGTGTTTTAAAAGCTTTCCCACATTGCTTACACACATATGGTTTCTCACCTGTATGAATTCTTTCATGTTCCTTACAGCTTGCATGTCTGGTAAATGCTTTCCCACATTGCTCACATACATATGGTTTCTCTCCATAGTGAATTCTTTCATGAACCTTAAAATATGCACATGTTTTAAAAGCTTTCCCACATTTCTTACACACATATGGTTTCTCTTTTGTGTGAATTCTTTCATGTTTCTTACAATTTGCATGTCTGGTAAAAGCTTTCCCACATTGCTTACACACATATGGTTTCTCTCCAGTGTGAATTCTTTCATGAACCTTAAAATATGCACATGTTTTAAAAGCTTTCCCACATTTCTTACACACATATGGTTTCTCTTCTGTGTGAATTCTTTCATGTTCCTTACAATTTGCATGTCTGGTAAAAGCTTTCCCACATTGCTTACACACATATGGTTTCTCTCCAGTGTGAATTCTTTCATGAACCTTACAATTTGTACGTGTGTTAAAAGCTTTCCCACATTGCTGACACACATAGGGTTTCTCTCCCGTGTGAATTCTTTCATGTTTCTTACAGTCTCCCCAAGTGTTAAAAGCTTTCCCACATTGCTTACATACATATGGTTTCTCTCCCATGTGGATGCGTACATGTCGCTTACAATATCCAGAACTAGTGAATCCTTTACCACATTGCTGACATACATATGGTTTCTCTCCAGTGTGAATGCGTTCATGTTGCTTACAATGTCCAGGAGTAGTGAATCCTTTACCACAGTGCTGACATACATATGGTTTCTCTCCAGTGTGAATTCTTTCATGAAACTTACAGTTTTCACGTCTGCTAAAAGCTTTCCCACATTGCTTACATGCATATGGTTTGTCTCCAGTGTGAATTCTTTCATGTTTCTTACAATCTCCCTGTGTTTTAAAAGCTTTCCCACATTGTTTACATACATATGCTTTCTCTCCAGTGTGAATTCTTTCATGTTTCTTACAGTCTCCCTGTGTTTTAAAAGCTTTCCCACATTGATTACATACATATGCTTTCTCTACAGTGTGAATTCTTTCATGTTCCTTACAACGTCCAGGTGTGGTAAAAGCTTTCCCACATTCCTGACATACATAGGGTTTCTCTCCAGTGTGAATTCTTTCCTGTTCCTTACAATTTCCAGGTTGGATAAAACCTTTTGCACATTGCTTACACACATAGTGTTTCTCTCCAGTGTGAATATTTTCTTGTATTTGAAAATGAATTTTACTGCTAAAAGCTTTCCCACATTTCTTACATATATGCGATTTCCACCCAGCGTGAAGTTTTTCATGAATTCCACAATAAGTACATGTGCTGAAAGCTTTCTCACAGTGCTTACACTCATAACGTTTTTCTCCAGAGTGAAGACTGTCATGTACTTGACAATATGTACGTGTTGTAAAAGCTTTCCCACACTGATTACATATGTAGGGTCTTTCTCCTCTGTGAATTCTTTCATGTTTCTTACAAATCCCATGTGTGGTAAAACCTTTCCCGCATTGCTTGCATACATAGGGTTTCCCTCCACTGCAATATTTTTCATGGATCTGAACATTGTCATGTGTTTTTGTTTCTTTCACATTCACATTACTTTCTGCAGTACCAAGGAACACTTCTTTACACTGATTCCAAGATGTATGTCCATAAGATTTCTCTAGCTTGTCATTTCTGTAAAGAAAAACATCACATATAAGATTTACAACCAAATTACTAAGTTTTTGTTTGAGAGTTGAACAAAACTGTTTGCAGTCTCACTGTTTGAATCCCCACTTCATATGTTTCACTTTTGTATTTCATAACTATTTCCATGAGCAGCATATGTAATCATCATCTTGCAATTTCTTACTGTTTATTTTCATTTTGAAAGTAGCATTATTTCCACTTATTTGTTTTGTTTAATCTTTCCTTATATAAATTTAAAAAAAGAAAAATTCACAGTGAAATGGGTCTCTGTTTCATGACTGCATTAATGTCAAGTTCTGTTTTTAATGCCTGCTACGAAATTCTGACCATGAAGCAACAGAATGGCCTTGTAAGATATGTTGAAAACAACCATTCCCAAAAGACTGGCACACATTTGGAAATCTTAAAAGTTGGTACTTTGAAAAGCAGAATATTTAGCTTCAATTTGGGCATGGGCACATATGGGTATCATGTACAGATTATTCTGATATGTTTCCCCACACAATCTCCCTTCTGCCCTTAACCTGTAGTCCCCTTTTCCATATGGTCAGTCTTACCTTTCTCTATCAACTTTCTTTCATTTCATTCCACAATTTATATTTTGGTGTCTCATCTAAAAGGAACCTTGTAACATTTTAGGTTTTATAGCTGAGCTATTTCACTGAATTGATGGGTGAAAGACCCATCTATTTCTTATGGCAAATGACATTATATTATTTATTTTTTGACATTATGTAACACATTTTTTTCTTTTCTGGGCTCGGAATGAACAACACGTATTAGCACAAAATCTGTAGCTTTTTTAAATCTACTTTAAGAGATTTTCACTGATCATTAAGCTGTGAAGTTTGAACTTGAATTTGCCATTCTGCAAAATCTGATTCCTAGTGTGCTGGGTTTACAGAAATGCACAATCACAGACAGTCTGTTATCATTTTCCTATTCCACAAATCCAGTGATAGATAGCTAAGCTTCAAGGCCTGGTCTGTTATAACTCGATCTGCTTTGTATATGAGTAAGCATGTATCAGTATTTTATACAGATTTGAGATTTTAAAAATATTCAGGACAAGTGTGAGGGGATCAATTTCTAGAGACAACTGCATATTGATATTCAAAATGAGTGCACTAACATTCCACCAGCCTACTAAGAATATTAATCAGAATGGCTGATTCTCTAGAGAATGTCTTGGAAACATGAGGAGTCATTTTTTTTAAAAATTCTATTGCAAACTTAGCAATTGTTAGATAATGAATGTGTTATATTCACATGTAGATATGGGTAGAAAAACTGAAGGCAGAATGTAACAACTCAAAATGTATTCTTTTCGTACTCATCTATATGCAATGTCATACATTTTCATGATTTAATTCCCTCATATATACACTAGCTTATACATCTTCTGAGAATATTACTGACATTAAATTGAATGGTGCCTCATTTCTTTGATCATTTTTCTGCTGACTCACTAATTACTCAGGAACATTACTCTACTTGTGTGTGTGAATTACCTTAAGTAGCTCCAATAAATTTTGCCTTCTTTTTCAGCTTCCTGGATATCCCCAAGTCCACCTGAATTGTAGAAATAGAAATACCAGGACTCTTTAGAGTAATACATACAAATTAATAGGTTTTGTTTAGATTTATGATATAATGTGTCCAGGTCTGACATATTTTTAAAAATGTTTTCATATTCTTTTTCATGAAACAGAACTAATGAGCAAGAAACAATATTCTGACAGCATGAGTGACAAAAAGATTTCATCCTTACCTATCAGAGTCATGCTCCTAAAGGTTTCGCCCATCACATCTCTGTAGAGCTTCTTTTGGGATGGAGTCAGCAAAGTCCACTCCTCATTGCTGAAGTTCACAGCCACATCCTCAAAGGTCACCAACTCCTAAAGGATCATACATATATTTCTCAGAGGAAGGTTGAGACCCCAGGTTTGGGATATCTTAAATTCTCTCCTAGAAATCTGAATCAAAAGCAAAGTGTGGTGGTGCATATCTATAATGCCAGCAGTCAAATGGCTGAGACAGGATGGCATCAGTGAGGTCAGGGCAATTCTAGGATCCATAGGGTGTTCAAATCCACCTGATATACATACAGAAAGCTTGTCTCAATAAAACAAAACTAAACTAAACAAATAAAACCAAACAAAACAGTTGAATGAAGGCTGATTTCTTCAAATTTTAATCCATGTCTTGGTCATTAATTTTGTGTATATACACATTTTTGAAGACAGCAAATCTGATACCAGATTGCAACTCGCTGCAAATGTAACAGCCAAACAGGAACACTGATTCTTGTGCTGAATCATGGCAAGATTAATCGTGCAATGTCTCTAAAGCAGAGCTCACAGTAAGAAGCCTGCAGGACCAGCAACCGCAAAGCACAGAGGCAGATAAATATCCCATCAATTGCCTTTAAAGCCAAGCAAGCACCTCCCCTCCCCGGTCATTGGTGGTGGTTTGGCAAATTGAAGCCCTTCCAGGGGAAAACCAGCAGCAGCTCCTGAGATCCATCCCATGCTGGAATTTAGGACATTGGGAAGCCAGTCAAGCACCACTTTTCCCTGGTAAGTGGTGGCAGTCTGTTGGACTGCAGCCCTTCCGGGGGGAGAACCAGCAGCAGCTCCTGATATCCATGGTATGTTGAAACTTAGGACGCTGTGAAACCAAACAAGCAGCCTGTCTCCCTAGTAAGCAATAGTGAACCTACTGATGCACCACCTAGAATCAAACATCCCACTTCCCTACCCCTCTTCTCCTGTCACCCCACATTAGCAAATGGGAACCAGAAATCTGAGCATCTCCTGGCAAGTTGACCATAGCAAATAAGGAGGACTTCCTTTTACTATTACTTTTAAGGAAAATGTTTTTATTATTGTTTCACTCTATTCTGATTAATGGTACTGCTCTATTTAATATTCTGTTTTGATAAGTTCTATAATGTTCTGTATTTTGTCTCACTTTGTTATATGTGATTAAAGAACAACTATTACAAAGATAACAAAATATATTGTGATACCTATTATTGTTATCCCAGTAACCTGTTGTGAAATTGTGTACCAATTTCTCTCTATGATCTTAGTTGACCTTATGCTGCCTTGTTCTGTTGTATTTTACCAATTTCAAAATTAAATAAAAAATCTCATCAATCACTTTGACAGACTACAGATGATGTCTCTTCAAATCTCATTTAGGCCAATGAATACTTTGTTCTTAATATACTTAAGCAGCATTTTGAAACATTAATTTGGTTCCATAGAACAAAACATAAATAACATCAAATATGGTACATAAATAATAATAACTGAAGTGTTATAGTGGAAAACAGCTGTATTTTAAAAATATGTATATAAAAATAAACCAGGCCCAAGCTGTAAATTATACCTCACTGTCACCAAGTGATCACTTTCAATTGAAATATAAGAATATATATCTTGGGAGGCTGGTGAAGGAGTTCTTCCTTGAATTTGGGGCTATCCTAAGTTACAGAGCCATCTAAAATAGACAATCCCTGACTGAGACACTGAAGAAACAAAGTGAAACTTAAAAAGAGACTGCATAAGACATCTTTGGTTTGTTTTAAAACATTATAGGCGTATAATAGAGAAAAATTCCAACAATACTCAACACTTTCTGAGAACCAATGTGGATATCTTCCATACTACACAGAAAACACTTTCATAGTTGGGTATTTAGTTCCGTAGCATGAACACCTGCCTGGAAAGCATAGGTCATGAGTTTGATCCTTGGTACGAAAAAAATTCAAATTTCACTTTCATGACACTGCAGTATAATTAGAGATAATCAAAATTAGATCTCAGGTATGGAACACAAAAATAATGGGTTGACAGGGATGTGGAATACTGATTGTTGCCAGAGCTGGTGTTGATCACCTCAATGAAGCAATCAGAACCCAACTCTACTTCATACTTACTCTAAGAACTATGTGACTTTCAGTAAAGACCCTCTCTGTTGTATGTCCTGTTATTTGCTTCCTGCATCC